TAATAATAATAATAATAATCTTGGTAGCTAGAATCAAAGGATCAGAGTAATTATGGGAAACTGTGGCCCTCCAAATATTTTTGGCTGCAATTCCCATGGTCCCTTAGTGGTCAGAGGTTAGGCCTGATGGGATTTGAAGATCAACAGAATCTCAAACACACACAAAAAAACAGGTGATTCACAGTTACCTCTCTAATTTAGAGGTAGACTTGAGCTGCCTTTGATATCAAATCATGTTATCCCTCATAACCTGTGCAGATGCAAACATTAAAAACCCGTACTTTTGCTAATTGTTGCTCCTTATCTGTGCTTCCTCCAAAAGCATGAGGACATGATTGAGGACCTTTTCAGTGGCCTCTTTCGGATTTTGGAACTTTCTGCCTAGAAAGTTAGGTTGGCCAGCCTCCCACTTTCCTTCCTTGGCACACGAAAACCCTTTTCTTGAGGCAGGCTTTCGGCAACTAAAAGACTGAAAAGAACAGAGGCTTCTGTGGAAGTGTTTTGCATTTCTATTGCTCACTTGTAGATGGTTTTTAACTGTATTGTTTTTAATATGAAAAGTGATTTAATTATATTTTAACATTTACAACATTTCAAATGTTCTTTTTTTTCTAAACCTAGAATGCTATCTTGCATTCCAGTTTGTGTAAGGAAGATATCCTATATAACTAAATAAACAATGGAACACAGGCATTCTCTCAAAGGACTGAAGAAAGCCACACATAGCATAGACACAACACCAGGTGATTTTCAGAACTGGCTTCCTTGATTTTTACACCTAGATGAGCAAATTTTTCCACCTTGGTTTTCTCCTCTAGCATTACTTAGAAGTAAATGCATTATTTGCTTCCCATACTATACCACGCTGCCTTTGTAAAGAGGGTGGTAATCTCTAATATGTAAATAATAATAATAATAACAGCAAGGTATGTGAAATCCTACAACTGGGGGAGGTCGTTCGTGGTTTTTCAGTGGTGGAGGGGAAGCACTCTGCACGTGCTCAGAAGTCGCGTACAGACGATGAAACTCCACAGTAAACCTGAGCACCGAAGGATTTACTTCCAGGTATCTATACATCGGGTGAAAGGGTGACGCTGACTGCGTCGTTGCCGTAGCAACGAGAAAGACGAACGCCTAAGAACTCTCCCCATCTCTCGCGCGCGTGCCCTAAGAGCCCCTCGTAGACTACGTCAGGCGCTGCTGTCATGGTAACAACTGCACCGCCTGAACCAATAGAGAAAGGCTGCGCTGCGCGCGCCGTGGATCTTCCGCGTCGCTCTAGCCTTGAAGACGCGTTCTCTCCATGGTCACATGTTTTTGTTACTCTATGTCCGCCGAACCCCGCGCGACCTTTTTTCCCTCCGGGTTGACGACGAAGACGGAAGTGGAAGGAAACAGGGTCACCTGACGAAGGAAACCCGGAAGCGGAAGTGGCGCGCGAGAGACAGGGAGAGAGACGGGCAGGCAAACCCGCCCTCCTGGAAGGGACCCAAGGCCGGGATGGTAAGTGACAAGGGGTACGGAGCTCAACGGAGCCCCGGATCACTTCCCCACCGCGCGCGGAGAAACCTCTTCCCTGTCCAGGCCCTCCTTCCTGCGCCGGGGAGGGGCCGTTCCTCTCCCTCCCTCCGCTTCCCCCGGAGGAATCTCTCGCGCTCCCAGGTCCAGAAACCTTTATTTACTTTATTAGGCGGTAGTATGTACTCACTTGTTTGGGAGGGAGAGCCGCTGGCCTGGCTAGCTGTTGCTTCCAAGAAAGAACCGTCCACCTCTGGGACCATAGCGTGCGGTGTGATCGTCTGTGGGATGGCTTTCTACCTATGTCCTGTGGGCTCTGTTCTGGACTTTGCATCAGGAGTGCCTACTTTCCCAGTTGTTCCTGTAATGTCTGATCTTTAAAAAAAAAGGGGGGGGGAGGAGTATTATTTTGGTCCTGTACATCCTTTGCTCTCTGCATATCCTAGGTTCATTTCTTGACACCTCTAATTGAAAGGATCTCTATTTGTAAGGCTGAAATAAACCACTGCCTGAGATTCTGCTGGTGAGTCCAGAGTAATGTTTTCACACTGAGCTTTTTTCTTGTTTTCTCTTAGTCACCATAAAGCAGTCAATTTCTAAGAAACCTGCACTCCCAATTATGGGTTGGAGATTCATTTTGAGATTTAACACATCAAAAAAAGGATACTATTTCTGAGCTTAACACTGAATTTCAAAGAAAGCATTAATGTTTGCTCTCCCTAAAGATGAGAACCATGTGCAAAGTCGTAATTTGGACCTTACCGTGCTATGCTATATATATATTTTTTATTTTTATTTTCTTACCTGGTTTCTCTCTCTCTTTTTTCCCCTTTTTCCCCTCTTTTTGCTGTGCTGCAACCTGTTTGCTTCTTTGGTGCTTGTACTGCGGTCCTTCAATTTAAAGGTTACCTTGTGCATTTAACATTGAGATGCTTTTTCTACAAGAATTGTCAGTGTCTTGTCCTTTGTGATGACACAAAATCAGGTTATGTTTTTAGCTGCTTCAGAAGCTTGGATTTCAATTCCCCACTGTGCCTTGTAGGAAAAGAGTCAACCTGTGTAAATAAGGCATCCAAAGAAGAAGAAATTGATAAACCATCTCTGATTACTCTGTTTCTATAAAATTCTGAGGAGGGTCATCATGAGTTAGAATCATGAGTCAGAATCAGTTTTAGAGCATATAATAATTAATACCATTTTACAGCTGTTGCATTCTTCATATGAACTTTTGAGATATGTGGTTTTGTGTAGTTGAATTGTGATCCTTCGATTCAGTATTAAACATAAAAAACAGATTTTGGTCTATAAGAAAAAAAAAAATCCAAAATCCATAGCTAGGTAATTTCTTTATTAGGACCATCTAAAAATGTTCAGCATTGTGGTTGAGGTTTTGTGATATGGAGATCTGAGAGCTTCCTCAGACCTCTGTGCATGTTTGGTTGGCCTAAAGTATTGCCTGACAGTGAGTTTTGGTGCAGATGTACATATCTGATTTTTAAAAGCAACACCACCTTTTCCCCCTGCATATCACAAACATAAATAGTTGTCCTCACAGGTTGTATTGTTCCTATATTTTCAAATAGCCTCTCTGTTTCTCCTCCTGCAGGTCACGAAGCCAGTGGAACCAACAATATCCCAGTCCTGGCACTGGATGTGTGGTCAACCAGCCCCACCTGGGCAGTCATGAACGGAAGCGCAGTGCCCCTGTCACCTGTAGGGGGAGGGATGGTGGGGGAGCCTACTTCTCTCTCCTCACCGGGCTGGAGGGAATTCTGCGAGGTGCACGCTCGTGCTGCAGCTGTGGACTTTGCTCGCCGCTTCCGGGCCTTTCTGGGGGAAAACCCACAGTTTGCCACACCTGGAGCTGAAGCCGCTTTCTCACGCCGCTTTGCTGAGCACTTCCTGGAGCATTTTGAGGCAGAAGTAAGCCGGGCCTATGCCAGTGATTCGCCACCGCGATGTGACATTGCCCCGTTCACAGGTTGTTCCTCTGTTCGTGACCTCTCTGAGACTTGCAGTGACTCTTCAGTTGCCTCTCCCGTGGAGCCTCCCTTGGGGCCACCGTCTGGCCTCTCCAGCAGCCAGTCCCGCAGCTCTGAAGATGTTTCTACCATGGTGGCAGTCACTGCCACCAAACCAAAGTTGAAAAAGCGTTTCTCTTTGCGCAATGTGAGCCGCAGTGTCCGGGGGAGTGTCCGTGGCATCCTGCAGTGGAAGACCTCGACTGACTCATCTCCGGGTGGTGGAGGAGATGGGGCAGCCACAGGAGCCAACAGTAATTCAAACTCTTCAGCAGGCGGTGACTCTGATCGTTGGACTCATCGGTTTGAGCGCTTGCGGCTTAATAAAGCCTCCCCAGCCACCCTCCACATGGAACTGGCTAGTGTGCGGCGTGAAGGCCTACTGAACTACATTGTAGCTGATGATGGGTCGGGTGGGGGTAGCCGGACACGCTGGCAGAAATGCCGTCTTCTCCTGCGCAAAGCAGGGAAAGGGGAGGGGGAGGGGTACCTTTTGGAGTTCTACATCCCACCAAAGGTGAGTAGTGGGACACTGACTCATTGTGGGGGTGGAGAGGGTGGCAGAAGATACTTGATTTGGTGAGAGGAAAGTAATGTCGCCAAACCAAGGCTTGGTGTTTCAGGGGCTTTTGGTTTGGGGCTGAGGGAGTGTTGTACATCTGTCTCTCTCTTTACTTTAACCCCCAGGCATCAAAACCACGGGTCAGCATCGCCTGTTCCTGCGTAGTGGATGTGCGGACAACAACCCCCCTGGAAATGCCAGACAAAGAAAACACCTTTGTACTCAAGGTTAGAACAAAGCTGGGATGGGTGTATTCATAGCGTCTTCCTAATAAGAAGCTGTTAGTGCCCAGGTAGATATCCAACGAGTCCATTTTAAACCCCATGGAGGCAATCTAGGGCTTTCCAGATGTTTGGGCCTGCAACTTTAGCCTCTAAATGTTAGCCATGCTGGTGGGGGCTCATGGGAGTTGTATTCCAAGAAACCTCCAGGGCAGCAGGTTTTCCATGCATGTCGTAGAACCTGTTTTGTAAACCTAATGGGAACCATAGTGTACATTTTCCCAGTGGCTCTAGACTGATCCAATTTACACAGTGTTCTCTCAGTGGAGAAGTGAACACCTTCCCCCCTTTACTTAGCTTCTCAGTAACAGAAGGAGGTTCTTTGTCATACCAGCCTATGCAGGTAGTGTTGACAGGGGAAAGTCAACATTTTTTTTCAGCATTCCTTACTCTTCACGCAATGTAAATTCCCTTCATATGCTATGAGACCTGCATGCACATGAAGAGTTGGTGGAATATGTGGGTGTGTCATGATTTTTTCACATTGAAAGCATGGCATATTCAGCAGTGAAGGCCAGATGAGCAGCCAAGGTAGCTGATGGGCAGGGTAAGACAGGAGGGGACAGGTTGATGTTAATGTAATTCTCCAACCACCACTGCTTGTGTTGGATTGCCTCCCTTTTGTCTGATGGGGAAGGCAGGTTGACTCTTTTATTACTGGTTCTTTGCATGAGTGTTTTTAAAAAGTATCATATGCATTGTTTTGTGAAATCCTGAGTATTTACAGGTGGCTTATGAAGAAAGTTGTCCCAAAACATGTTTGGCTTCCGCAGTTGGATATAATCCTTGCAATCAATTGTATCTTCCATCTATTGAGGATCATTTAATCTTCCTCTTCTAAGGCTTTTTTTTTGGCTTTCGAGAGGGAGGATTATTAGCAGGATGTTATGTATCTATAATTTCCCCCCTTTTTGTTCCCTGTTCCTCTAGCTATCAAGCTCCTTGGAGTACATCCTTGAGACGGTTGACTCGCTGCAGATGCGTTCATGGCTAGCAGATATTCAGGAATGCATGGGCTTAGGGTAAGTGGCACTTGGTGCTGCAGAGTGATAATATAGCGTATGATGTCCTTATAATTTGTTTTTGCTAGAATGAAGGCATAACTAAGTTGCATCACAACTGTAATAAATAAAAGATACCTTTGCCGATTGTGCAATGTAATTTTAACTTTCAGCTTTATAGTTACAGGTGTGTAGCCTCACTAAAGTGTGGAGGAGGAATATCGTATAGGAAGAGCTGCTTTGTGTTCATTCTAGTGCTCCATTGTGGATACTGTGGTAGTGAGGAGATGGACAGGAGTGTTTTTTTTTTCATAACCTACAAACTTCTAGCATTCTGCAGTCTGTTTACAAACTAAAAAGTTAATATTTAACTAGTTTTGATATTCAGAAAAGTAAGAGTTTCTTGATGGAACAATGCAACTACAAAGGTGACTGTTTTGGGGTGACAGCCTAGGAAATATATTAGTAACTTAACAGCTAGATTGTTACTGAATATTTATGTGCACAAGAGGAATAACAGAAGGTTAATTGACAGAATGCTGGTTGGATATCAGTCACATGCCTAATTGTGTGTCCACTTGTGCACCTGGCCTGTACCCAGCACCTCATCTGTTTGCCATGGCAGGCGATCCAGGATGCAAGTGAGACAGGAGTGACCATTCTCTGGGATTCTTACTTATTAGAAAGATAAACAATGATAGCAAAGATCCCACTTGGGCAGCATTTTGTTTCCAAGAAAACAAAAGCTTTCCTTTGAGAAACTTACAAGCAGGGCATGAATGCTGCATCTCTCCGCCATCACATGCACCTATGGGTTTTCCCTGCCACTTGGTGCTCAGATGAATACTGTTTGTAAATGTAGAGGTTCTGTGTTAGCTGTGGAGCTGATAGAACGTATCTTTGCAGTGAGAGCACTGACAGTCTGGAGCAGCCATGCATGAACCACTCGGAGAGCATGCCCAGCCGGGAGCTTCCTATGGTGCCGAGTGAAAGCAATGAACAGCTCAGCCAAGGTTTGTGAATGTCTGATGTAATGTGTGTGCGCACACATACTCACCCTGCCTCTTACAAGATGTTTACTTACTCATTTGTCCCGCAGAAGCTGTTAGTGTGGTAAACAATGTTTTCCCAAGGAAACACCATTTAAAACAAAGCATTGCTACACAAGATCTCAGTTTTCACCCTATCAGTGCTACAAATATGCAAACTTTTCAGAAAATGCCAGACTTCAGAGGTAGCACTGTAGTATTAATTAAAAAGTTGCCAAAACCAAAAGAAAAGAAAAAGCTGTCACTACCATTTACTGCAGTGGGAAAGATAACATGGAAGCTTCTCATAAGATATGACAGTATGGTGGTTAGAGGCATCAATGATATATCTACTATGGTGATTGTGAAAACTGAACATCAGCTCTATTCATCCTGGAACAGAGCAAGTCCAGTAGATTAGCTTGTGATCTGGTAGCATGTCTTAGAATCTGGTAAGGGACATCTCTTTGGATATCAAATAAGTTGAGAAAGTTTACAAGCTGCCAAAGACGTCTGCCAGGTCACTAAAATATAATGTGGAAAGACGAAAGCAAACCACCTGTCTTCCAATTACGAGATTGAAATATTTTTAGGTGATTATCACCTGACTGTTCATTTTGTGACAAGGTAGTTAGGGCTAGTGTGGTGTTTTGGTTGTTGTAATGTCACATTACAAGTAGGGAAACGTGGGTGCAACTCCCCCCTTTAGTCATGAAGCTTTGGGAGTGGCATTTACCTGCTATGCAGGTAAAATGAAGAGGGAGAGACTGCATTTATTATTGTATCATGAATGTTTCTGTAACAAGTTACAGTGCTAGTAGTTTGTGAGCACAAAATAAACAACCATAATTGGCACTTTAAAAATGGGATGTTGCATGGACTACATTTGAAGGTTGGGGAGGGGGATGAGAGGAGTCTTTCAAAAATTACCACTGCCAGGATGATTTTACCACTGTCCGCACTTCTTTAAAATTAAAGGCTACAGCTGTCCATTCCATGGCCTCCAGCAGCTTTCTCATAATAACAAGGGCCCTGTGGGAGCTTCAGGACCTTTGGCTGGGAGTGGAATGGGAAATTTTTAATCTCCAAAATAAGCAGCTGAGGATGTCCTAGTAGCTTCCTTCATTTCACCAGTAAAATTATTATAGGGGGGGAGACAACGGGAAAGCTTGTTATTGTAAAGGAATGGAACATAGAAGTCCTTTTTCCATCTATTTCATTCAGATCATCCAGTGATCTGCCAGTAGAGCCAGAAATCTACTTTCTTTCCAGTCCAGTATGAAAGCTCATAAAAGATTCACAGACTGAGTTCTCATGATCACCCCATGGTGACCACTCCTTGGTATGAAAAAAGGTGCCCCAGTTCAATTACTTCCATTTATATGACTATTATTAATTGGGGGAAATTCTTTGAATCCCTCTATGCTTTCAAATTCCCAGTGTGGTGTAATAGATAGAACAGTGGACTATGTCTTTGGAGAACAGAGTTCGAAACCCCACTTGGTCATGGAAACTCATAGTTGAACTGGTAAAAGCACTCCTTAATTATCTTACCTCGAAAGCCCTGTTAGGGTCACTCTTAAGACAGTTCTGACTCAATGGCACAGAACACACACATGCTTTCAAATTAAGTATTAGTTGTTAGGTATTTGTTGTGTTTGTATGTGTTTTTAATGTGTTGTGAACTGCACAGAGTGTGTGCAATATATGGGGCAATATGCAAACTGAAACAATAAATATCAGCCTTAGGCAGTATAAGTGAAAGCACAGAATTTCAGCCAGTGTTTTAACCACATGCATATTTAACATTCTCAAACCAGGAATAGCTCAGTGTTGCTTAATTAATCCAGAAAGTAGCATTTTTTCACAATCTGGGAGTTCATTCTAACATGATATATTTCTGAATGAAAATACATTCTAATTAATTTCATATTCGACCATAGGATTTAATTAGATCTACTTATTATGCTGCTATTAGGGTATGTGAACGTCAGTGTCAAGTAATTATTAAAAGACTGCTTATCATCTACTTGCCATAGCTGAAATACTGATAGCTAAACAGAAAAGTAGTGAAATACTGTATTCATAAAAAAGGAAAAGAAAAGCAGACTAATAAAAACCATGGAAATAAAAGCATTTCAGTGAATAAGAAACAAGGAGTTTATTTGTTTAGTTTTACAAAAAATGGAAACATGTATAGGGTTCAAGATTGTATGGCTATTGGAAAATAAAAGAAAAGGGAGCAAGTGATAGAAATGGTAATTTATAAATATATCAGCATGTAGAAATATAATTGCTTGTATAACATTAATAGATTGGGTTCATGGTAAAAACAGATTTCTGAGTATATGCTTGCACCAGGTACAGTAAGTTGTTGCACCAGGTTTTTTAGAAGCCAGCTGTGTTATTAGCCTGTGATCTGGCCTCTCTGTGACGTCCCCAGGTGCCTACGGTGGACTGATGGAACGCCCCTCAGCATCCATGTCCCCCAGCTCAGTCTCTATTGCTGCCTCGCACTTTGATTCAATGGAGCTGCTGCCTCCAGAGCTGCCACCTCGGGTGCCGATTGACGAAGGCCCATTTCCTGCTGGCCTCCTCCACACAACCTTCCCAGAAACCCCTGATACATCAGGTAATTGTTCGCTATAAGCAGGAACTCCTTGCTTTCTATCCTGGATTCTATCTATGAATCGTCTGCGTGCAGAACTCCTTCCCCACTGAAGCCACATTCCTTTGGGAGTCATGTGCCAGATGCTGGTAGTAGACATAGCCCGAGCCAGCGGTGAGTAGGGTTGCGATGTTCCGTTAGATTGCACATTCTTTCCCTCTTTGCTTGCTCCCACTCCCTTGTCTTTGTCCCATCTTGTTAGGGGGTCACATAAAATGAGAGCAAGGAGCTCCTATTGCTTCTGGGCTGGAAGTGCCCCAACCCAGGGGAAGAAACGGTAGTTCCCAACCTCGGGTAACCCAGGTTGTTCTTGGACTGCAACTCCCGGAGGCCTTCACCACTAGCTGTGCTGGCTGGGGGTTTCAGTCCAAGAACACATGGGTTTACCAAGGTTGGGAACCACTGTTGTAGAATCCGGACTTCTCTGAATGTTCCTTGGGAGTCTCCTCCTGTTGCTTCTCTCTCTACTTCAGGGTCCTTCCTCTTCCAAGGGGAACCTGATCCCGGTGGGGGAAGTCTTGGTGACACAGAGCATCACCTCTCTGAATTTCCTTGGTTCCATGGCACCCTGTCCCGTCTCAAAGCAGCCCAGCTGGTGTTGGCAGGGGGTACCAGCAGCCACGGCGTTTTCTTAGTGCGTCAGAGCGAGACACGGCGAGGCGAATATGTCCTGACCTTTAACTTCCAGGGGAAAGCCAAGGTGAGTGCAAGGACACAGCTGGTCTCTGCCGGGGAGTGCTGGGGTTGTGGGGCAGAGCAAGCTCGGGCTCCGGGAGTGGCTCACCGGTCTTCCCTTTGTCCCTCTAGCACCTGCGCCTCTCCCTTAATGAGGATGGGCAATGCCGGGTTCAACATCTCTGGTTCCAGACGATCTTCGACATGCTGGAGCACTTCCGGGTCCATCCCATCCCTCTTGAGTCAGGCGGCTCCAGCGATGTGACGCTTGTCAGCTATGTGGTGGCTTCGCAAAGGCTGCATGGTGAGGGTGGGAGGAGCTGGGTGCCAGGCGGGGAAGAGCATAGACACCCCTTGCCAGTCCATGTCATGCTCCATCTCCCACCCATCTCCTTCCATCGTGGCTCCAGACATGTGCCTCTCTCCCTGTTCTTCCTGCCCAGGCCTTGTGCTCCAGCCCTGTACAGTGTATATTGGTCACCAGGGGAGGAGGGGAGAGAAACTCACCCCGTCCACGTCCTCCCCTCCCTCTCTTCCCTCACCCCCCAATCCCTGTTTCTGATGTGGGCATCTCTGTCACAGGCCGGGACCGGGCTGGGAGTCGAGCGCCGGTGTCTGGGTTCAGTGGGGACCCCGACTCGCCCCCCAACCTCATCTCCATCCTTGCTGCCGCCTCTGCGGGTGACTGCGTGTAAGTGTGCAATAGCTTCCCCTGGGGAAGAAGGCTGGGAATATGAGAGAGCGTGTGTGTGTATCTCACGGCCCCACACCATAGCCCATCGCTATCTCCATGGGTCGTGCGAGCATGCAGTGCCTGCCCCGCTGTGTCTGTGATGCCTGGAGGCAGGGGGAGAAGTTTAAAAGTGAAGATGCTTCTGCTCCAATCTCCAGAAAGGGCAGGGCAGGGCAGGATGCAGTTCTCAATGCTGAGGAGCCAGTATTACCACGTAGAATTGAGGATGGATTCCCAGATTCTCCAGTTGGCATAGCTAATAGTCTTGCTTGCTGGGGTTTGGAATGGGGGAGAGGTATGTGGGTGGTGGCTCTAGTCTGAAAAAGGATTTTTTCTATCTTGTGGTAGAGCCAGGACTGGGTTAGATGACGACTTACAGGTTGATGCAATTTCTTTTTTTTAGTTGGACTGTGGTCCACTAATCAGCTGGGTACCAAATTGTTGGTCTGGGTGTACAATGCAGACAATCTTGTTCTTTAGATTTGAGTTACTGTAAAGGAGAGATTCTAATACAAAGCTGTAAAAGCAACCAGTGGAGCTGCACAAAAATCTGCTCCAATCAGTGCTCATTATTTCATGAACAATGAGCCCAAAGTCTCTCATGACAGGGAAGGAGCAGGGAACAGGAGGAAAGGTTTAGTCTTGCTCTTGTTGAACTGATTGAGACCTCAAAAACTGCCCATCTTCCAAAAATTACCCTGAGATCTACCAGTAAAACTCACCAGTCAACTGTCTATCAGATCCTGAGTTAGATGAACCAGTAATCTGATAAGGAATAAAAGCAGCCGCTCGTGTATCTTCTCCGTAACTGGGACTGCACTGTGGCCATGAGGGGCTTCAAATGATACTACAAGTGCTGCCAGACCTGGCGTGTTTGGCAACCTCTCCTTTGGCAAACAAAGCCTCTCTGTGCCTTTTCGCAACTGCAGTAGCAATTAACGTGATGAAGCCCGTTCTATAAAATCTGCTTTGGATATAGCCATATTATGTAAAACAACAGAATAATATTAACTGCACACAATTAAAGAGACTACCTGGGCTCCTATATGGTAGCTTTGCTCTCTTGCCCTGTTTTAGTAATCGGTTGTAAGTAACAAGTGGCTGGTATGATTCTGAATTCAGGGGCTCAGCCTACTCATTCCCCATATTGTAATGCTGAGTTAAAGACTTACTGTTGGGACAACGTAGGGCTGACGGACTCAAAGCTGAGCGATTCCTATCTTCTGTGATCAGCACGGTAGTCTTACCTCTGTGGTATGCAGTGAAGCATTCAAAGCAGCCTAAGAAATGGAAAGCCTTTCTAAACAGCTATAAGTGCAAGCTAGGTTGTGCTGTGAATGGAGATCAGTCTGTACAGTTACTTTTCCATGGACAGGGAATAAGAGGAGGCACATCTTTGAAAGGGCATGGTTGTTTTCTAAACGAAGGCTAATTAGCCTTCTTGACTGTGAAAAACTGGTTGCAGGTGCTCCACGGTGGACTCAGATGTCAGCTTTCTAGCTCTTTGTCATGCCCAGTTTAATCCTGAATTTTTTTTTAAAAGGGGGGGGCTTGGCAGGGGAGAAGCTTTAAGGCAGTGGGTCCCAAATCTGAGTCCTCAGAGATGGTCAGACTTGAGCTCCTAGAAGCCTCAGGCAGCACGGCTAATGGCCAAGGGAATGATGTGTGGGAGTTGGAGGCCAACATCCTAGGACCCATTGCTTTAGGTATATGGGAGTATTTGACATTCAAAACACACTGGAGCACATGGAAAAGTTATTCCATTACTGCAGCTGAATAATGTAAGCCAGGAATCTTGAGATTTCACTCTAATGCAGAACCTCAGTTCAGGGGCAGGGAGAACTTCTGGCTGCAGAGATGACAATGGGTAGTTCTGGAGAGGGTAGCTCCTGTTGGCCAGGTGGTCATGTTTGGTGTCCTTCATATCATGCCCTACAACTCTCTGACTAGCTAGGCTCTGCTGTCTTAATATTTCTGGATTTCATTCTGTCCCAGAGTGCTACCTGGAGGGATATATCAACACCAAATAGCCGTAAAATCTGGGGAAAAATCTTTCTTGACTTTGCACCATGTGTTCATGGTTACACTTCCAAGGAAGCTGCTTCTCTGAAAGGGAACCCACCTTGTGCTGGGCATCAGTTGAAGACTAGAGCTGTATCACAGTGTTTGGAATTTGCAGATCTCAGCATGGAAGGCAGAAAGATCATTGGGCACACATGTTATCTCAGCCTCCACGCTCAGCTATGCATTTAAAGTCGCAATAAATACGCACTTGAATTTTAATATCTAGATCAGTGGTTCCTAACTTTGGGAACCCCAAATGTTCTTGGACTGCAACTCCCAGAAGCCTTCACCACTAGCTGTGCTGACTGGGGTTTCTGGGGGTATCGGTCCAAGAACAACTGGGTTCTCCATGATTTGGAACCGGTGGTCTAGATTCAGAAGTTTTTGACTCTAAAACATGATAGTATGAAATCAACTACCATACTGTGGCATATGTTTAATACAAGTCCACCCGCAGTATGTTTCTTTCCAAGCAGTCCCCAAATGAGAGTGTTTGAAGTGCTCTGGCTGCAGATGAGGGATGGGCAAACTGTGCTCCCTCCCACATTGTTGGATTGCACCTCTCATTAGCCCTAACCAGCAGAGCTGATGCTGAAGGATCATGGGAGTTGTAGTCAGGCAATATCTGCATACTACACTTTGCATACCCAATACAGATAGAAGGCAGCTGTAAACAAAATCTGGCCCGGGAACCTCTGTTCTGGATTAGATGTGGTTCAACAGAGGGGGTCCACTCAGCTGACTCACGGTGTCCGCCATTCCAGTTCTTGCCTTAACTCCACATCATCCTGTCTCTTTGTCTGTCCGTCTCTTTCTGTTTTCTCCACAGAACCGAACACCTCTCGTAACCTGCCGCCTCCGCCACCTCCGCTTCCCCCAGCCCGGCCACCCCATGTACCCCCAGACCATAGACTGCCAGAGGCCGAGGGGCAGGTGGAGGAGGAGGGCAGCCGGGCGGTGCCAGAGGTGGACGAGGGAGCAGCCCCAAGAGGAGGGGGATCCCTTCCCTTGCCAGAGGAGCCAGAAGGACGAGCCAGGGCTGTGAACAACCAATACTCCTTTGTCTGAGACTCAAATCGAGACGAGAGAAAGGAAACAGCCTTCATTACACCCATCGCTGGACGGAGTTCAGGCCCTGACTGTGGGTACAAGATGGGCTCAAATGTCTAATAGCTCTAGACTTTTCCTCCAATGATCTGTGATGGCGGGGACTGGCCTTACCCCCCCCCTTTCCATCTCTCCTTCCTTCTCGTCTTTTGCTCCCAACTTGCAAGAGCTTGGTACGCACTACAGCCATGTTTTCATTGTTAAGGAATGAACTCCCTCTTTCCTCCATCCCACGGCCTTCAGCCCAAAAACTTGCAGCTGGGCAAGAGTATTCTCTTATCGTAAACACTACACAGAAGAAGTGGTGGTGGTGGAGGGGGTGATCTTCCCACCCCACCCCCTGATTAAATGTGGACTCTGGACAAAGTCTTCTATACCCCTGCTCTTTTTCTGAATGTATGGAGTCTCCGAATGTAATGCCTGCTCCCTTCCCATCTCTCCCTTGAGGTGGGGGGAGGGGATGGTGAACTCCTCCTTCTCTGCCCAGAAGTATATTTATAATTCTTTTTGTCACTCCCCTCTATAATCCCTGAGCTTGGGGACTGGCCACACATTGTAGTCTCCACCACCCAGCTAAATTAAAAGTGTTATGAACATATACTTTCACAGATAACTGACCCCTTCCTTCCCCCCCCACTGCACCTTTTTCCTTCACCACAACTTAAGATTTATTTTTTTACTGTGGACTAGTTGGACTGGTCAGACCCACTTTTGTCTCTTCAGTTCTCTCATCTTTTTTTTAATTTACTCTGAGGTACCATTCATCTGTGTCCTTTTTTATGTTTATTTTTGGGAGTTTGTATAAAAATAAAGGAAACATCATTTTACCTTTTAAAAGGAACATTTGTGAGTTAAGAAGAAGACTCAACGACCACAGACTGGATCTAGGCAGATATTGGGCCTGGGCGTTTCTCTTTTTGAACCTTTGCACGGAGTCATCCCAGGCTAGCTGTTTTGAAGGCATGTTCCTGCGTTTGGTCTTTAAAAAAATGAGGTTTTAATACTTGGTATTATGTAATGCACGGGTGGGCAACTGTGGCCATCCAATTGATGTTGGATACCAGCTCTCATCAGCCACAGCCAATGGTGAAGGATGTTGGGAGATCTAGTCCAGCAACATCGGAGTGGGGGCGTGCTTGCCTGCTCTTACATTGCTTGACTGTATTCAAAATACTTCACAGACATTATTTCAGACGTAATCTGCAGAGCTGGCAGAATGGGATGATAGAATGGGCTATAGACTACAAATGGAAGAGTATCATTTTGTAATGCTCTCCTGCAAGTAAAAAAAAAAACCCAGCATGACAAGAAATAGGCCAAGCTAGCAGATACCAACAAAAGCTTCCTTCCCCCTCCCCATAAACAATGGGCAGCATTAAGAAATGGCACCCCCACTCTACTCAGAAGTGGTGAAATCTGTTTGCTTTGCTTTCTATATATGCTGACAATTTTCTACACAGGAACATGGGCAACCCTGTGATCTAGATCAGTAGTATGAGACAGAGGTTGGGAGTTTGATTCCTCACTGTGTCTCCTTGACAGGCTGGACTTGATGCTCCCATAGAGCCCCTTCTGCCTCTGCAGGTCTAAGATATGCTGTATGACATATGCTGAGGACTTTCAGATAAAGGGAGACCAGATAATTACTTCTGTAGCTTGTCCGTTACACCAGTTTTCCAACAGAATGAGACAGGAGATAGTCAGAAGCAGGACTGGTTTCATTTCTGCATAAGAATGAGGGTAAGAAATTATGGCGGTTGCTGATTAATCCACACATAGCTGGCATTTCCACATGGACAGGTGAAAAAAAGGAACCCCATCCTCACTACCAAAAGTGCTCAGATCTTCTCAGGCAAGCCCTTGTTTGTGTGCCTTGAGAGGTAGTTTTCGTAAATGGGCTGCAGAGGGCCCATTCCAATGACCTTATGCTATGCTGTGTCTAAAAGAGCCATCAGATTTCGGGCCCATTCCAGTGACCTTATGCTGTGTCTAAAAGAGCCATCAGATTTAAACAATTGCATTATAAGATAGTATTTGTTGGGAGCAGGGGGATTTTTTTTTAAATTTTGCATAGGCTTTCTGGAATAGGGTTCTACATAGGTCTGGCCCCAGGTATTTTGCTGCTTTGGATAGAACAACCAATAGCAACTCCACCTCTAGTCATGTTACAAAGTACCACAGGCAAGTCTGGTTATTTAGACATCTAGCAATGCTACAGGTATTTCCCCCCCCCTCCAGTTTCTTGCTTTTTCATGCACAGAATTGGATGAGTTATGCAGCAGCTGCACAGCCTCATGATAAGGCTGACCCTTTGGGAATCCTGTTCTTTGAGAGGGCTCCCCAAAGTGGTGGGTGAACATGAGAGCAGTCTTGGAAGGAGGCAGAGGTAGAAAGTAGATCACAAGACAACTTCATTCTGGTAGCTTTGGCTACTTACTGACGAGCCAACTTTGTGAAATCAACTGCAGCCCTGTGGCAAGTCATGGGGGAAAAACACACACGGAGAAGCAACAGATTATAGAATGTTTCTTAAAGTGGCAGACTGGCCTGAAAGAAACTATACTTTATTTGAAAATGAAAAGAACTGCTGGATAGCTCAGCAGTCTCTCCACTAGAATAAATGTCACCAAGACAGCATAGCTGTCCACCTAAATAATGCTTATCAACCACCATAAAGCCGCCTGCATTTTTGAGAGAAGAGTTACAAATAGGTCTGCTCTTCCTTGGCGCAAGGTAATCTTCAGGGTGACTGTTTGAAAATTCATTTGAAATTATGTTCAAATCCATACACAAAATTAACACAACGAGAGAGAGAGAAAGAAAGAGAGAGAGAGAGACTTTGAAAATTCATTTGAAATGATGTTCAAACCCATACACAAAATTATCGAGAGAGAGAGAGAGAGAACAGTGGCAGATTTAGATAGTGAGCAAAGAAAGCCTGCATTTGGTTCATTGGTCTTTTTTCCCCCAGCAAAAGCCCGTATGGGCACTGCAGACTTTAATAGGGAACATTGCCAGGAGAGTCTTCCTCAATGTGGGTGGGCTGCATAGGAAAGGCCCAACACTCAAGTTGGGGGCATTTTCTAGCAATGTCTCTCATGAACAGCTTTGATGGAAGGGTTAGGGTTAGTATATGGAAAAGCAACCAAGTAATTTTTAGGTTGTGTTCAGGAGGGACACCAGTTTCGGTCATGTCCTCTCACTACTGGCCTAAAATTCTGCAGCCTACCTTGACTGGGCATTTTATGTTCCTTTGGTCACTGGCAGGAACAAAGGTCTGATATGTTACTGAGAGCCACACACTCCCAAAATTTGAATATTAAATTTAGACTTACCATTCCAGGTTTCTGTGGTTTCCCATTCCCCTCCGTTTTTCTATGCTGTTATAATAAGGGTTAGACATTTAGCCTGCTTTAAGAAAAAAAGTTTCTGTATGCTTAATCCTCCTGGCATCTTGCAGGATGCTGGATTAAACATGACCTCAGGTGTGCTAATCTCAAGGGTCTGGGAGTGGGATGGCCCCATGCCTCGGCTAAAAATGGTATTATATGGCAAGAAAAATTTAAGAGTTAAATTGTGGGTGGTAAACTATGGATACCATCCACAATTTAACTCTTAAGTTTTTTGTGAATGGTAAACTATGGATAGAATACATTATGCGGAAGGCTGGACTGGAGGAATCCCAAACCAGAATTAAGATTGCAGGAAGAAATATCAACAACCTATGCAGATGATACCACTCTGATGGCAGAAAGTGAGGAGGAATTAAAGAACCTTGTAATGAGGGTGAAAGAGGAGA